GACGCTTTTAAAATTTAATATAACTGGAAACATAATTGCCATTTATTGGATTAGATCAATTACTCTAATTATAACAAAGAAAATATTAAAAAATGAGCATGCTAAATTTTCCCTAATACAGTAAAACATTTTAAAACAAACCATTGATATAGCGAACCTGCCCCCCCCTTTTTTCTTATAAGGGGCATAATCTATATATATAAAAATGAATGTATGTGTGTGTGTGTGTCTGTTTGTTTGTCCTTTATGCCTGACCAAACCACTCATTGGATCGCCATGAAACTTTGGGAAGTTATTTAGTATAGTACTGGGAAGGTTTCTAGCAAATAAAATTTTTTAAATAACTTTTCGCCTAGAAATAATCAAGATAAATATTCTAATTTATCTGTTATAATTCAACAATCTGTTCTAAATATTATCATGATGATACGATGATTTTGTAATGTAGAAAATTAGGAAAGACAAAATTCAGGATGACACGGCAATTTATTTGAGACAAGAATAATGATACAATTCAAAGGCAAGATACTATTCCTTTAACTTCCAATTACCGAGGGAACCAATTAATATTGATTTTATTCAAATTATCGAGTATTTTTCAAGGGACCGGGAAAAAATGTTCACTTTATCGAGAGATTCGTTAAACAAACCTTTACTCAGGTAAAACCCGGGCGAAGCCGGGTACATCCATACAAGAATAATGATACAATTCCAAGGCAAGATACTATTCCATTAACTTCCAATTACCGAGGGAGCCAATTAATATTGATTTTATTCAACTTATCGAGTATTTTTCAAGGGACCGGGAAAAAATGTTCACTTTATCGAGAGATTCGTTAAACAAACCTTTACTTGGGTAAAACCCGGGCGAAGCCGGGTACATCCATACAAGAATAATGATACAATTCCAAGGCAAGATACTATTCCTTTAACTTCCAATTACCGAGGGAACCAATTAATATTGATTTTATTCAACTTATCGAGTATTTTTCAAGGGACCGGGAAAAAAATGTTCACTTTATCGAGAGATTCGTTAGACAAACTTTTACTCGGGTAAAACCCGGGCGAAGCCGGGTACGTCCGCTAGTATAAAATATAATCTTTATTTACTTTTTCATTTTACAAATTAGTGAGTCATGGCTTTTTAATAACCAAAATGTCATCACATTGAAATTCACCTTAATGATGTTTTTCTCTATTTGGCAACTTTATCTCTCTCTCTACGTAGAAATGTTAATTCTACATCAGCAATTCGAAAATCCTAACGGTATTTATTAAAGGTTTCTATTTCAGATTCTTAAATGATATATAAAGTATATACTTATTTCACAGAGACATTTATAAACGAAAAATAGTTTCATTGTTTAAAAACACTTCTCATCAAAGCATTATTTTAAAAAGTAAAGAAATGCAAACTTGAAGAAAGAATCTAACAAAGAAGGGATCGAGTGTATACAACTTAATGATTCTCAGATTGGAAACTCTGTGAGCTGGAAATTCCAACAAATAATTTAGCCTGGCCACCCAGGTAACAACAACATGAGGGAGTGAAGTTATTGAAAGTTTAATCTCTCAATGGACAGCGTGGAGTGACTCGAAACAATGGCTGCATCGAGCTGGCTCCTGATTGGCTGAGGACTTATTGATCTTATTGATTATCAGGCTGACCGCCGACCTTGACCGTTCTCTCCTACCACCCCTTTGTGGACGACGTAATTAAATAATATTCCATATTTTAAACACAGAAAATACTTTTTCATCAATATGCATGTCTCATACATCCTCAATTTTACCCTTCTTTGAATATAAATAACCAAGGATATCTGAAAATTTTATTCCAGGAACTAAACTTCCTTGCTGTTATCTGATGAATTGGACTTCCGCTTGGCTTATAAATAAAACAAAAAAGACAAGATTGAAGTACAAACTGGGAAATGGTGTTCTCAAGGAACCTGGTAACATTAATTAAATAATTTGATATGTGAACCCCCTTAGGATGACAACCGTCTGATTTGTTTGGTAATAGAAAGCTGGAGAGGTGAAGAAGAGGTGGTCCACGGTCTGGTCATCCTTTTTGGACGTAAACTATTCAGAATTATTGGTGCAAGAAGATTATTCAAAGGGATTCAAAGAGGACCAGTTCTCAGTTTTATAATACCAATCAGAGGGTCACCCTCTTTGGATTCACACATCCAAGCCCAGCATTCCTAGAAAATTTTCCGAGCGCTAAACTTGCTTACCGCCACCTCATGAAGTTGACTCTACCACTCACTTTGTGAAGAGAAAAGAAAAGATCTGAAAGTTAACCCGGTTATTTGACGACATCAGTTCCTAACAAAACCTGAGGGTTGATTAAATAAATAAAAATAATTAGTTTTTTTTTAGTTTTTTTTTTTTGCCTATCCGTGCGGAAATATGTAAATACTGTATTTGTCCGGCAATTTCACTAAACTACAAAATTATTAATTGCTGAAAACGTATATTATTTTTGAAAAGTCCAGATTGGTGTCGCCGGTTATGACCTTTTTTTTTATTAATTTGCCTGAAATCTACTCTAATTTAACCGATATCAGGTTTATAAAATCACAAACATTTGTGTGTGTGAATTGAAAAAGTCTGATGATGAATACATTTTAAAAAAAATTTGCTGATTGGAGGTTTGTCAAAAAATAACAGTCACATCAATCTCTCTTCATTTATTTTCTGCCTGAGATCTCGGCGACTCCCCAGAGGAGGGTGACCGGGAGTCATTGAGACGTCGGGAAGAAAATAAATGAAAAGAGATTGATATAGTGAATGAAACAAACCGATAATTTTTATTTTATTAGAAATTGCCAACGTTCCAGTGAATTTCTATCATTCTTCAATATCAATTGATTTAAATATTCTGGATATTAATGAAGCAAATGCTACAGGTTTCTGGAGATGAGTTTCTTTATTAAGCGTAATCTCGAGTGTTCGAGTATCTCTGCCCTACTACAGGAGTACAGAGAAACATATAAACGCCGTTTCTATGTACTCCTGTAAGAAGGGCAGAGATACCCGAAAGCTCGAGATTACGTTTAATAAAGATAAAGAAACTCATTCCAGAAACCTGTAGCATTTGCTTGATTTCTATCATACTTGTCAAAATGTGAAGTTACTCAGAATCCGTTGTTGGTAGCGCAACCGAAGATCGAATCCCGCTATGAGATTTTTAAATATCACTTCAATGGTCTCTCAAGCTACCAAATGAATGTGAATTAACAAACGAGGCTTTGGCATATTGTAACTGCAATAGCCGAACTGCTTGCTACAGAAATGAGGTGCACGTACAGTAGAATACAATGGTAAATCCTCACCGTTCAAAACCATTGTAAATAGATATAAATATACGCGTGTTATAAAATGAATATAATTGAGACGCGAATGTCTCTTTCACAAATGATTCAAACTTTTACTGTCCTTACTGAGATGAAAAAAATATTGGGAAGACTTGGCTCATCAGTGGTAAACCCAATTTAATCTACCAGACTGCTTCTTTAGAGCTGTACTGTACTGAGCTGTTACTCTATTGGAACATTCTGCTTATGTGTGTGTTATGTTTCAAATATTTATATTTCAATTTAGAAAGTTATCAATTCATATAAATATCTAAAATCGAGAGTTTCAGAATTAATTTCACAAATAAAACTCTGACGAAACTTTATGATTATTCACACAAACAAAGCCTTTATTAAGACGTTAGTCTTATACAGATTCTCCGTAACTTTATGATTATTCAGACATGACCATTTGGCAACCCTAGTTTATGCAATTAAATGGATGATGATAAAAAAATATGAGCGGAACAGAGTAACAAAAGAACCCACCTATTGCAATATTTCTGGGCTCAGAAATTCACAAAAGAATGATTATGAGCTACTGACAAAAGCATGATTGATATCTTGATCGTTCTTCCTTCTGATTGGTGGTTGGCTACTCGCATCTTATTGGTCCTTTTATAATGGCACACGAAATGTTTCCGGAAATAAGATATTTCTTTTTGCAGAAAATATATTGGTGCAGAAGCATGGTATTTAGACCATTTCACTTCTATTATATATATAAGCGGTTTTGTAAATCTTTATCTAAGAAAATTTTGAATTGCTCATGTTGAAGTTATATTTTGCATACTATATATATGTATGTTATTTTAAATCTATATACAAAAAAAAATAATAGTTTACTCTAGTGAAATTATTTTGCCATTATAAATTTATTCTATAAATATCGCCCATTATTTACAAAATTATTGTCACTTATCATTATCTTATTTATATTCATTATCGCATCTATATTTATTATTTGTAAGACAACTAGAAAAATGACCCGGCTTCGCCCGAGAAATCTCCCGAGTGAAGTATCCTTCATATTGAAAGTACATCAATAATAAATAGTAGAAGTGCCATAGAATAGCAATACAGAAGAAACACATAAACTACAGGAAAAAAAGTGTGTAATGGCAAATATTGTATTATATTAGTGTTTAGGCATTTGATTTAATTATTTTTTGCAATCCATTTAGTTGTTTCAAAATTAATATAGTTTAAATAGACGGCAGCTTTTCCACCAAACCCCAATTAACCTTTGAAATTGCCTGAGTTGAGTGACTGACTGTAAAGAATTCTGACTGCGATGCCCATCTTCTCAGTAATAATAATAAAAAATAGGTTTATAAAAAAAAATTAATCCAAAATACTGGCATGTAAATATTTTTCTGTAAAAAAATAAAGAGCATATGGAAATATTAGACAAACATATGTGTTCGCTAATGATTGCGACTGCATTTTAAACGATTTTTAAAAAGAGATTTAAACAAATAAAGGCCAGAACAAAAATTAATAAAAATATGAAATCCATTATTTACATACATTCACAAAAGCAAACGATGACATAATTGATGACTCTGATACTTGTATATTTTAATAATAATAATATTATTATAAATGAGTTTTAAAAATAAAAAAAAAAATAAAAAATGCATCGGCCGGGAATCGAACCCGGGCCGCCCGCGTGGCTGGCAGGCGAGCATTTTACCACTGAACCACCGATGCTTATAAGAAATGGCCATTTTTGGGTATTTATTCCATTCACAAAATCAAACGATGACAGAATTGATTGATGACTCTGATACTTGTATATTTTAATTATTGATATTAGCGATTATACCCGGATTTTTGCCGGGTTTTACCCGAGTGAAAGTTTACCAAACGACCATTTGTTGAAACAATATTTTCGGGGAAACATTCACTTTCTATTGAATCTATTTTTGTCGAGATAAATTGTTGTTTGTTGCTTTTCTCGACTACAACTTATGAATTAACCATTAAAAATTTTGCATATATATAGGTAGCTGAATATATATATATATCAACACATATTCAAAAAGACTAATAATTGACGATAAAAAAATCAATTTTCTTGTTTTGAAGTTATATGCTGACTCTGGATATCTCAGCTTCGCCCGGCGTCTCCTCTAGTAAATGCTTGTCAGACAATATTGCTTCAACAAATGTTATTTATTATATAATTAGTAGTTATTCTAATTAGTTATCATGAGAGGATTCGAATGAATATATAATTATAACTATCATATTCATTTTGGGTTTCAATTTAAAATATTTAAAGTGATAATTAGTTACATAATATGTAATACATAATATAAAAAGAGATGAAATCCTCTGAATAATGTAAGTATAAGAGTTCAAGAAACGCTTTAAGAAACGCATCCTCGCATGCCTTGAACTCTTATACATACATAATATTTGTTAAAGTATTCTTCGTTGGGCAACATTCACTGGGGAAAAATCCGGGCTAAGCTGGGTCATAATATATATTTGTGAATAATTCATTTGATTGAAAACAATTTCATATAATATATATACTCTCGGGTGAAAATGCACTTAAATAAATCCTGAGCATTGCCTTGGTCATTCGGATATATAGTTTCAGCTCCAGTTTAAAATAGCTTTACTGGGTGCGTGCGCGCCGCGCAAAAAGAGCAATTCATTTAATCATATTTACAATAATGAGAAATAGGGGAATATACAATTGTTTATTTTGAAAATTATTCTGAAAATAGAGCAATCCATACTTGAATCATTAGATAGTAAAAAGGCATATATTGGATTGAATAAAAGATTTATTTGTCAATATTTTGGCTGGCTGAACGCCAACCTTTATCGAAGCATTACATTTTTGTATACACATGCGGCGCTGAGTTTGTGTATACAAAAATGTAATGCCTCGATAAAGGTTGGCGTTCAGCCAGCCGAAATATTGGCAAATAAATATTTTATTCAATCCAATATATGCCTTTTTATTATCTAATTTACAATTATATTATGGTATGAATATGTCTAGGTCCAGAATCTTGGGGCTTTGGGAATATTGTTTTTAGAGAGGGGTTTCCTGGCTTGTTTGATATTTGCATTGTATTTCTTCTTTCATCTTTTCCACATCCATCGTTTTGACCTAATTGAAACAAAAGTTGTTTGGGTCTTAAATTCCTTTGTTCTTTGTGTAGCATTTGTAGTTGCTGGCATCCTTAAAGGTGGAGTTTTAAAAATTTGGGATTTTTCGTCAAAGTTGAAAGATTGTTTTATAATGTAATTCTTGGATATTTTCAATCTTGAGATCGTTCCTTAGTGTTTTGCTTCTGACAAATAATGGTGGGCCTGTAAATTTCTAATAATTCCGTTTTCAATTGTTTCTATTTTTTATATGGGTTTCAGATGATGTAATGAAAATTGGATGGCCATAGATGCGAATATGTCTCAGTATTGATGTGTAAATTTTTATTTTGTTCTGATAGTTAAGACTGAAAATTATATATATATAAACAAATATTTTAACATTTGTTGAAAGAGAATTATTAGGGAAACATATCCACTCCAGGAAAACCCGGGCTTAATTTTAGTAAGCTAGGATTAAATTTATTGATAATAAATTAATACCGTCACACACATCATAACATCTTTATCATCCATGAGAAAATTTGAAATTTGTCTTATTAAGAAATATAAACAAAATTACCAGTGAATATATTTTTCTAAAGAAATATTTTGCTTGATACTATTCTCCACCAAAAAACTACTGAAATAAAAAGCAGGAAATTCTGCGTGTATCTCATGATGATGAATTTATAGATCAACATACAAGCCTTGAAAAGCCTAAATTTATAAAGACAAATAACAAACTATATTATACTTTTATTTAGTTCTTGTGTTACTCCTTTCGAAGAGCTGATAAGCTCGATAGCATGAGTTAATAAAACTATTGTGAAGAAACAAACTATTTTGAATATTTTTGAGTTATAAAATGATCACAATTATTATTCAAATGACGAACGGTCCAATGGATAATCATTTCATCAAACCAATTGCTACGTGCGATGAAAAATTGATTCTTTCAATAATTTCTGGCATGGAAATTAGTGATTTGATCTATTGGTTGAGCGAGAACTGTGCGAATACAAATTTATGTATTGTGTTTGATCGTGTAATGCACTTTGAAATGATTCCATGATTTTTGGAATTCACGCGGAATTTACTTCAAAAAGTTGAAAGAAAGTAATTTATTACTCTAGTCAATCGAAAGCGGTTGCCACTCATGTAAGACAACCTCACATGGCGCGTATAGCCCTTAATAGAATTCGGGATTTGGAAGGAATTGAACTTTTGATCCACCCAGCTTACTCCCTAGACCTTGCTCCGGCGGACTGCCATCTTTTAAGAAAAAATCCACTTTTCATTAACGGAACACCCTTTGAAAATACTAACGAAACGTAAAATGTTGTCTACGAGATTTTTGGTTAATATCCGAAGAATAGGTGCAATTCTGAATTCGAAATGAAACTCAAAGATGGGTTGAGACAATAAAAATGGATTCATATTTTGAAGAATAAGAACATGTATATATATGTTTTTTTTTATCTGCACTTGAAATGTTGCTTCTAAACATCAATTATTTCAATCACTCTCTATACTAGTCTCTTCAACCTAATCACTTTAATATGATGCATTCTACTGCCCTCACTTTAATGAAAAAAAAATGATGAGAAAGCCTGGCTCATATATATGCAGTCACACTACTGAGAGGGGTCACCACTGATGAGCCAGGTCCTCCAATTATTTTATCATTGCCCTAAGGGCATTAGGTAATTGTTTTATTTAAAAATAAGCACGGACGCGTCCAAGTTCGAATTCCGCATATTCACCTTTTCTCTTTCACACACAAGAGGCACACCAAGGTTATATTATTAAGGTATTGATTAAAAAATAATCTATGATTGAAAATAGCCACCAAATTTTAAAAATTATTACATATATATATATATATATATATATATGGAAAATTTGCCGGGAGGAAATTAATCCATAGAAGCAAAGGGCGCCTCTCCCGTCAAAATGAACGTCAAAAACTGACGCCATCTATTGACCGTCGCCGCAACTAGCGGCCTCGGGTCGGCGACAAAGCCACAATTCATAGGCGCCCTTTGCTTCTCTATATATATATATATTATATTAATTTAAAAACATATTTTTGAGTTTTTGCTTGATATTGGATCATGTTGAGGATTATTGGTTATCTTGAGGATTAAGCTATGGTGGTGCAGTCGTGGTTAAAATACTGAAAGAATAAAAATAGTTTTGATAAGATATTGCTTTAATTGAGCTAAGAAATATAAAAACATAATTTGATAAAAGTACTGCCTGGCTTAAGGCGTAAGAATAAAAAAAAAATGAAAAGCGTATTTACATAATGTACAAATGTTTTGGGTCGGCCAGCGGGGAAGAGAAAATATCTTTATTTACGGGCTACTAACCAAAAGTTATGATTTTTGAGCCCAAAATCGATGTCAGGTGGCAAGGGACCCTAGGATGTGGAAGCAGGAGATGTCTCGCAGGGGTGGTGGAAACGTTGGGCAAGCAGGGGAATAGCGCCAGGGTGCAGTGAGGCGGGTGCGTTGAATAGGCCAGGAATCCAGGAGAAGTGGCAGATGGAAATGGAGGCAGAAGGTCCTTGAAGCCTAGAACTTGAGGGCCCTAGACTTCAGGATGGGGCAGCTTGAGGCTCTCGCCTCGTGCTTGTCAGGAAGGCCCTGGGAGCAGCAGTTGGCACATTTGGAGGTGCGCTGGTCAGCAATGGATGGGCAGGTTCGGCCTTCATGGCCGTCTTCACCGCAGTGGAAGCACTTAGGAGCTCTGGTGCATTGGGCAGAGTTGTGGCCGAAGCCACAACAGCGGAAGCAGACGCGGGCGCGGATGGACTCCTCGAAGTTGAGGATTACTCCATCCACCACGATCCTCCCGCGAACGCCCAGGGCTCTAAAGGTCTTGAGGTCCACCTCGATGAAGGCGGTGCAGGTCCCGTTTCTGGGTGCAGAACGGTGCGCCACGCGCACCACCTTGTCCACCAGGAAGTTTTCTAACAGCAGCGGTTTCCAGGAAGGTCTCCTCAATTGTGGAGTTGGATGTCTCCTCATCCACTTTGAAGAGGCAGATCCGTGGCAGGATCTCCTTCTGCTGGCGGACCTTCATTCCATTCAACTTGCTGGCCAGGGAGGTTGTAACCTCAGGGATGGTGTCAGGATTGCTGGAATGGAGGACCAGCTTCCCCTTGGTGCGCAGGGAGGCCCAAACGCCTTGGGGGAGAGTGTGAGCAGCGCGGACTGTTTTCAGCATCTCCCTTGGGTCAGCCTGTGGGTCATCTGAGATGACCACTGTGTGGGCCGCCGATTTTTCTCCATGAAGGATCACTTGGGCGGCCGCAGGCTTGGAGACGTGGGAAGGCACAGGTTTTGAAGGACCATTCAGGTTTGTCCTCTTTGCAGGCGGGTTGGGAGCTTCAGACTGCTTCCTTTTGGTTGGAGCAGGAGCAGGCAGGGTAGAGGCAGGCTTCTTGGCAGGGAGAGCAGCAGGAGCAGGAGTGGCGGGCTTGATTGGGTCAGTCTGGGAGCTGGTTTCATTGCAGGAAGGAGCAGGGCAGGTTTGAGTGCCGCGGCAAGCAGTCTTGGGCTTGTTGGCCTCCTCAATTTCGTCCAACTCTGCGA